GTATGGTTTACTTTATACACACAGTTTACAGTATAAAGTGATTGTATGGGTTACTTTATACACACAGTTTACAGTGTAAAGTGGTTGTATGGCTTACTTTATACACAGTTTACAGTGTAAAGTGATTGTATGGGTTACTTTATACACAGTTTACAGTGTAAAGTGGTTGTATGGGTTAATTATACACACAGTTTACAGTGTAAAGTGATTGTATGGTTTACTTTATACACACAGTTTACAGCGTAAAGTGATTGTATGGGTTAATTTATACACAGTTTACAGCATAAAGTGATTGTATGGGTTACTTTATACACAGTTTACAGCGTAAAGTGATTGTATGGGTTACTTTATACACAGTTTACAGTGTAAAGTGATTGTATGGGTTACTTTATACACAGTTTACAGTGTAAAGTGATTGTATGGGTTACTTTATACACAGTTTACAGCGTAAAGTGATTGTATGGTTTACTTTATACACACAGTTTACAGTGTAAAGTGGTTGTATGGCTTACTTTATACACAGTTTACAGTGTAAAGTGATTGTATGGGTTACTTTATACACAGTTTACAGTGTAAAGTGGTTGTATGGGTTATTTATACACACAGTTTACAGTGTAAAGTGATTGTATGGGTTACTTTATACACACAGTTTACAGCGTAAAGTGATTGTATGGGTTACTTTATACACACAGTTTACAGTATAAAGTGATTGTATGGGTTACTTTATATACACAGTTTACAGTGTAATGTGATTGTATGGATTACTTTATACACACAGTTTACAGTGTAAAGTTATTGTATGGCTTACTTTTTATACACAGTTTACAGTGTAATGTGATTGTATGGATTACTTTATACACACAGTTTACAGTGTAAAGTGATTGTATGGGTTATTTTATACACAGTTTACAGTGTAAAGTGACTGTGTGGCTTACTTTATACACAGTTTACAGTGTAAAGTGGTTGTATGGTTATTTATACACACAGTTTACAGTGTAATGTGATTGTATGGTTTACTTTATACACACAGTTTGAAAGTGGCTAGGCAAAGTTCAAATACCATTTTTTGAGTATATTATAAACCATTGACCTCAAATTAGGTTGAATAGATTGGCACGAGATATTTACGGTTTTGTGGGAAGTATGAAAGAAGAACTGTGTGGGAAAGTGACCAGATGTAGCCTGTGTAGAGAAAAACAACAGTAAAAGTTCAGAAGATTAAGGAACAAAACATAGATCTTGGAATTTTTTATAGTTTCTTTAGAAATTATTTTCATCGTAAAAAAGTTTGTGTTAATTATTATGTGTTTGAAAGCTACAGAAATTTTCTTCTATGATAAGACATAAGTAAGTTTATTTAGGTTTAGAGAACACTGTAGCCTATGGCTGAATTTTAAGATGACTCAAGTGTGACTTATACGTAAGCCTAGTTAGGTTTAGAAGATACACAGTGCTCAAAGGCAAAATATTCAGATGACTCAAGTGTGACTCATATACGTAAGCCTAGTTAGGTTTAGAAGATACACAGTGCTCAAAGGCAAAATATTCAGGTGACTCATATACTTAAATATTGAATATTGTTGTTGAGAGTAACGTATCCAAATAATGTAGATAAGTAAAATAAATTATTATTTACTGAAGAGAAATTATATTTATTGTATAAAACTGCTGGAAAATGTGTTGTTATCAAGCCTGACAGGTAAGGTCGTATGCCACCATAAACCTTTGTGATGTTTTGCCCTACTACAATTGTTAAAATAAAGTATCAAAGGAGATATGTTATTGAAAATAAATCAAGTTGAAATTGATTGTATATCTATATATATATAACTTAACATTTTTTTTATCAGAATGGCATTCCTCCACAAAATCTTTCAATTTCACAATATAAAGGATGTAATACAAATTACACAAGTTTTTTAATCCAAAACTAGATACTATTTTACTAATTTTCATACAGTTTGGTTAAGTATTTCCACTGTGAAATCGAATTGTAATCAAACAATAAATCAACAAATAACTACTATGATGTGGAGACTCTGGATTTCAATCTAAATAATTATCTCTATATGGTGAAAGTATACATCAATCTAAAGACACACAGTTTAATAACAATGTTCTGCTACAGATGATTTTCAAGTTACCAAGTTATATCATTACATGAGGGTGTTAGATATGTAACTCCATAGGCATCAGTTTGGTTTACAACTACAGGTATTTTGTTTACTCACTTCCAGTACTCTCAAACAAGACTTTATCATTCAACCCGAGTCGGAGTTCAGGCATTCCCGAGAGATAGACCCTCATCTTGATGCTGCCCACTATTTCACTACATAACACATTACCACTTGCATTGGCCTGTAAATACACATATATGGTTCAGTAAATAATGAGATATATCAGCTGTAATTACAATAAAATAAAGTATTATAGCACAGTTGGTAGTTTGAAGAAAATCACCCTTACTCTCTAGATAACAATAAAAACAAAATCTTGCCATTGTGGTTTCATCAGGATTAGCAGTACAATTCTAGAATTGTATTACAGGCCCTGATGAAGCTATTATGGTGAAACGTCAGCAGAAATATGTTTTATATTATCATCTGGAGAGTAAAGCTTGTTCTTCCTAACTTATTACCAACATCTCTAAATCCCTTCAGTACGAACTGCAAGTTCTGAAAAACAACAGATATAACCAGTGACATTCTTACACTGATATAATACACACAACTAAGAGATCAATTTAATATTATTGATGTTCGGTTATATCATTAAAGATTATCCAGCTGATAAAAGTCTATACAGTGAATTCATATCATTGTAATCAACATGTTTATTACATCAAGATTAAGCATTTCAAAAGTTTTACTGACCCATACACTTTATCAAGGTTAACTAAGGTCAACTGGTACACTTTATCAAGGTTAACTACGATCAACTGGTACACTTTATCAAGGTTAACTACGATCAACTGGTACATTTTATCAAGGTTAACTAAGGTCTACTGGTACACTTTATCAAGGTTAACTATGATCAACTGGTACATTTTATCAAGGTTAACTAAGGTCAACTGGTAAATTTTATCAAGGTTAACTAAGGTCAACTGGTACACTTTATCAAGGTTAACTAAGGTCAACCGGTACACTTTATCAAGGTTAACTACGATCAACTGGTACATTTTATCAAGGTTAACTAAGGTCAACTGGTACATTTTATCAAGGTTAACTAAAGTCAACTGGTACATTTTATTAAGGTTAGTTAACTAATATATAGGAATATATTTTATTAAGGTTAGTTAACTAATATATAGGAATATATTTTATTAAGGTTAGTTAACTAAGATATAGGAATATATTTTATTAAGGTTAGTTAACTAATATATAGGAATATATTTTATTAAGGTTAGTTAACTAATATATAGGAATACATTTTATTAAGGTTAGTTAACTAATATATAGGAATATATTTTATTAAGGTTAGTTAATTAATATATAGGATTATATTTTATCAAGGTTAGTTAACTAATATACAGGAATATATTTTATTAAGGTTAGTTAACTAACATATAGGAATATATTTTATTAAGGTTAGTTAACTAATATATAGGAATATATTTTATTAAGGTTAGTTAACTAAGATATAGGAATATATTTTATTAAGGTTAGTTAACTAATATATAGGATTATATTTTATTACGGTTAATTAACTAATATATAGGAATATATTTTATTAAGGTTGATTTGATAAGGTCAACTGGTAAATGTTATCAATGATAATCAACTCAAGTTAAACCAGATCTTACCAAGTTTAACCCTTTTACTGCCACATTCCCAGATAAACAA